TATATAATTTTTTTTGCTCTGTTACTTGCACATTTTACAGTTACCTCATTTTTCCCATGTATGTATTTGAAAAAAGGCTAATATATAGAAAAAAAGGTTCTTAAAGCTCTAAAAGTGTTTGTTTTTTTCCATTCCATTGGAATCATATTGGTTTTGTAGCATTTAACATAACTAGTATGTTGTATTATATATATGTGTATTATACTGATTGAAATTTTTAACAGATTTGTACTTTTTTTAAAATGAAAGTTGCTAGTTCTGCTTGACCAAGTAGTGCAATCATTATTTTTTTTAATGTTGTGGCTGATTTTGAGAGGGATATTCACTAATAAATGTATGATGTATACCAACAGGCTGTGCCCCGGCTCTTGTCTCAGCTTGGCCAGGCAGGGTGGCCACACATGGCCCTGCTGGGGCCCCTGAGGGGCTGAGGCCAGGCTAACACTGGTCAGGGATGGGGGTCCCCAGGCCCTCACCAAGCAGCTGGAGAGAGTGTGCAGCAGCTGGAAGAGCTTGGAGGAGAGACCAGGAGAGGCAGAGGGTGAAAGCAGGAGCAAGCTGGGTCCTCTGCCACTGGGGGGTCTGCAATCCAGCAGCACCATGGACACCTTGCTCCCACACAGAGGTCCCCCTCACAGCTTGCACCACAACAGAAAGCCCTGGATGCCATCCAGGGATAGTACCCCTTACTGGGTGGCTCCAGCAACACCCCAGGGGGCAGCTTCCACCTCTCCTACAGCCCAGCCCTCCGAGGCCTGGGGGGAAACCAGCCCAGCAGGCCTCAACAGCCACCACCATGCAGAACAGGCACATCCACCCTACACATGACAGCAGGCAGGGGCTCCAGCTCTCCAAGGCTAAGAGCAAGATTGCTACTCCTCAGCACCTGGAAGTCAACCCTGTCCCCATATACCATGTACCCAGTATGCCTGTGCCTACTCTGAAGGCTCCATGGCCAGAAAGGGAACAGCTTTCTTTGGGAGGAAGAGGAAGGATCTAGTTCCTGTTGAAAAAGGCTTGCCAGACCCTGGAGACACCAGGAAAGGAGGCTGGTTTACTACAGCTTGCAGGCATCAGAAATGGTGGGGGTGCAGAGAGCGCCCTGCTCCCCTCTGTGCTTTACACAAGCAAGTGAGCATGGCTCCCAATCCAAAACAGGTGACTAGCAGGCAGGAGCAGGCTCCTACCCCCCCCATAGCACCACTCCACAGCCACAGCCAAGCCTCTGGGGGGGGAAGGGAGGCTTACACCCACCCTTCTCCACACAGCACCTTGCACATCTTTCCCCCCCCACACCTCTGACTCAATGCTGGGCTGACCCAGCAAAGGGCCAGTTGCCTCCTGGCCAGCCTCAGCCCCAAGTTCATGCCATAGGCAGCTTGCACACTCTTGTCTGTCTTACTCCAGCAGCTCCCCAGCACAAAATTACCCATCCAAGGCCAGAAGTAAAGTGTACCCATGCTGCTGTGAGCAGGACCTTACTGCAGAGCCACAGCAGCTGCAGCCCCCTCCCCAGTGCTTGGTAGAAAGCATTGGCACAGACATGCTAGAGGCAGAGTTTATTATACTACGCAGGCTAAGAACCCTGGGCAAGACCCCACACGGGTAAGAATCGAACCAGCTCTTTATCAAAAAGTTAATACTACAGTCAACCCCATTCTCCTTTGGTCATTACAAAGCAAGAGAAATATTAAAAGAAAGATATTTATACACAGAGGGAAGCTGAAAAGATTCTGTCCAGCCCTTCCCCCCCACCCCCAGCACATTCAGGTGCCTGGTCTTCCAGCTGTCAGGAGCAGCAGAGTATCAAATCTTCACAAGATGTCAGGTTGTTGGGGTTTTATTATTATTGTCGTCAATAAAAGCAGTAATTACCAAGAGCTGCCATTCCTGTTCCTCCCCTGGGAGGGTGGAGGGGCAACACCAGCTCCCCTCCCTCTCTGCCCTCCAAGTGTAGGGGATGGCTGTGCACACCTGTGTACAAAGACGTGCACACACCTCTCACCAGTGCACACACACAGCACAGCTGGCACAGGTGATGTGGTCTCTGATCCCTCATTTGTATGCAGTCTTTTAAAAAAAATATTGTATTATAATAATAATATGAATTTCTCTTTCCATTTTGTGTCTTCTGGAAAAGTGTCAATCGTCCGTGAGGTCCTGAACAAAGAGGACTTCCGTGTGGCTGAGTCCAGCCTCCTGCAGCGTGGGCGGGTTGGGCCACTCCTCTGTTGGGAGGCAGGGCAGGACACGGCGAGGGAAGTTGGCCTCAATCTGGAACTTTTCAGGGCTTTCTTTCAAGGAGAACAAGAAGTCATGGATCACCTGGGAAAGCACAGAAATAACTGCCAGCTGGGGGAGCAATGACACAGCCAGACCTGCATCCATAGCATCTCATGGGGGAAAGGTTACCAAATTTGCACCATCACTGCACTGTAGACACAAGATAGCAATTTTCTTAGTATGCATGAAACCAGACATCACAGTAGCTGGAGTCCAGATACTGTTTCTGGGTCTTCCTACAGTCTTATTTAATAGAGAGCAATAAGAGTCTCAGCTTTTCAGGAGAAGGAAAAAACCAGGTTCCTCCATTTTTTTTCCCCCATCTAATCTCTCTTTTAAGCTGGTGGGATGAGGACACAAGACACCCTCCTTACCCAGGAACAACTCTGCCTGCTAAGGCTCTCAAAGGTCACCATTTGGCAAAGTCCAATGGAACCAAAGCTTTGCTGAGCCACCAAGGCAAGTCTCTTGACCCTCTTTTACTCTGGGAAGACCATTAGCTCTGCCCCAAACTCACCGTCAATGACTGTGTGAAGTGGAATCGCCGCTCCACTCTAGAATCATTAGGCAGCTTGAAAATGATCTTAACACTCTCTGGGTCATCAGGATGCGGTTCGGGAGGAAGGCATTCAGACTTCCGCTCCTTCTCCTCCTGCAGCGTCTGCAAAATAAGGAGGGAGCAAGAGCAACAGGCATGCACCGATCAGACCTTTATGCTTGTCCCTTGCAGCACAGCTACTTCAGGAGGCTTGGAGGACACTCAAGCATCAAGACAAGCAGCTCCAATCTGACAAGAAAGCCCTACTGCACTGCTCCTTCACAACACAAGCATCCAACAAGGGCACAGCAGCCGCTCCAGCAATCGAGTTTGCTCTCACCTGTCGCCGTCTCTCCTCTGCTAGTTTTTGCTGCTGCACTTCCTCCTCCTTCTTCTTCTTCCTCTCTCGTTCCTCCTTCTTCTTGCGCTCCTTCTCCTGGTCTGCACGCAAGGATGCCAGATATGCCTCGTCCTGCTGCTGCCTCAGAACTTGGGTTTGGTTTCTCTCTTCCCTGCAAACAGGAGCAGGGAACAGTCAGGACTAGCAGGCCCGAAAGTGAAGGCATGGCAGGCCATAGGTGCAGGTACAGCCTCAAACTTGTAGGAGTGCACACATCAGTTAACACCTCATTTAGAGGGCTGAGTACCACAAGCAAGCTGAGTCTCTGCAGTCCCCAGCACACAAGCTGTTTCACTAGGCTGAGTGGAAATGAACTGAACACAAAAGATTTCTCACCCATTGTAGCTTGACAGAGTGGACAGACAGCACACAAGCAGTGCCCAGGACTTCTGCCTCATTCCTCAGACTCTTCACAGTTTTATCTCCTTCGGGTAATTCCTTGTGCATTTTAGAAACTAGAGGCATCAAAATGTGTTACTGGGTCCCCCACAGAGACCACAGAATCATTTAGGTTGGAAAGGACCTTTAAGATCAAGTCTAACCATAAACACAGCACTGCCAAGTCCACCACTAAACCATGTCCCTAAGCAGCATATCTACATGTCTTAAATACCTCCAGGGATGGTGACTCAACCGCTTCCTTGGGCAGCCTGTTCCAATGCTTGACAACCCTTTTGGTGAAGAAATTTTTCCTAATATCTGACCTAAATCTCCCCTGGTGCAACTTGAGGCCATTTCCTCTTGTCCTATCACTTGTTACTTGGGAGAACAAACCAATACCCACCTTGCTACAACCTCCTTTCAGGTGGTTGTAGAGGGCAATAAAGTCTGCCCTGAGCCTCCTTTCCTCCAGGCTAAACAACCCCAGCTCCCTCAGCCACTCCTCATAAATCTTGTGGTCTAGATAAGTTGCCCTTCTTTGGACATGCTCCAGCACCTCAATGTCTTTCTTGTAGCGAGGGGCCCAAAACTGAACACAGTATTTGACGTATGGCCTCACCAGTGTTGACTACATGGGGACAATGAGGGCAGGCAGAAGACCAGAAAGTTGCATTCTACTTTGTACACAGCGTGCAAGTCCCTCAGGGACTAGAGTTCATGCTCACAAGGCACTACCAGTAACGCAGTCATCATTCAGGACAGCCAGCCCAGGCAGCAACACTTTCCCACTGACTGGCTGCAGACACCAGCTCTCCTGCTGCCTGCCATGCCTTTGCTCCCAGTTGACTCCTACCGGCTATCATCCAAGCTTTACCTGCAAAGCTCTGGCACGCTGCAGAAAACAGTAGAGCACTCATACCCACCTTTTAGTAGCAGGCCTGTATGGGCAATGCATCCAGCTCCCTGGCTATAGGGTAGCCTGAATTTATAGACCAGTGATCCCACTGGGAAGAGGGGAGCCCATGGGCTGTGTTACACAACAGGAGATGCTGACCTACCTGCCTACATACGGTGTCTGCAGGGAGGAAGGGGGCAGAGCAGACCCTGCCTCCACAAGGTCTGCATTACTGGAGCTCAGGTTCCATCATACCTTTCCAGGCGTTCAGACACCAGGTACGTCTGGTTGGCATCCATGATGAACATCAGTTGATTAATGAGGTCATCAGCCTGGATGAGGCCTTCTAGCCGCCCAACTACTGTCATTCTGCGATCCTTCAGCATAATCACAGCCAGGAACGGGTATGTGTTCTCTCGCAGAGCCTGGGAGACTGGTAAACAGGCACAAACATCACCACAACCACCCCATCCAGAAGGGTGAGCAAGGGAGTACAGTACAAATGCTTTCCATCACCAAGGGCCTAGGAAAGCAGCTTCCCACAGCCACTATCTCTTCCAAGGCAGAAAAGGCCTCAAGGCTCCATTTTGTCAAACTAAACCCTAAAAATAAGCAATGGGAGGAAGTGGCTTGGAGCATAAAGGCTGAAGGGGAAAAACACATTTTCAAATGACCAAAAAGATTCTTGAATTCAAGTGGAAACTAAATTGCTCTGAATGTCCATTCAGAATGGGACCAAGAGTCCGAGGTTTAAAATGCAAGAAGAGAAACACAGGTCAAGCACAGGGAAGCATTTGCTAATATTAAGGATGGCCAGACTCTGGAAGATACTGTCATAGAGAAGATGGCAGAGTGTCCACCCTGGACATTTCAGAACAAAATTAAATTGTTTCTGCTAGAGGCAGGCTCTGTCTTGAGACAGGAAATGAAGCAGATCAGGAGCTTTTAAGTTACTGTTCACCTATGACTGATCACCATCTCCTCCTCAAAACATGCATGGCACATCACGCAACTTGGAGTGGTCATTACCAGTGAAGACCTCCAAACTAAATCAGAGCAACCACGATCTCCTCCAACGTTGCTTTCTAGGCTGTAACTCCAAAGCATTGCAGTAATTAAACAGCCATAAGTAAAAGAATGTCTCCCTAGAAAGCTATTGTTTCAAGGTGTTGGTAGTTGGTAGCTGAACTACGAAGCCAGGAATGACCCAGATTTAGAAACAGAACTCCCAGCCTCTCCTGCAATGAAACAGGAAGGCTCAGAAGAGACACAGGAGGCAGGAGGAGGACTTTGGGAAAAGCCTCCATTTGCAGCAAAACCCTACCAAAAAGCTGGCAGGCCAGGTATCAACAGTTCTGGAAAGATAGTACTGAAAAGAACCTCACTGTGGACTTTCAAGGAGAGACTGGGTGAGGGGGGGTGAAGACGGCTGTCTCAGAAAGGGAAAGAATGCACCTAACAAGTCACTCCTGGCCTCAGGCATAATACAAACCAGTGTTAAGGGCACAGTTCATTAGATACTTGTTTCTGCACTCAGTTTAATCCTCAGCACACACCCACCAACTCTCATTAACATGCCACTAAAAGCAGTTTAAATGTCTGCAAAGAGCACATAGCTAGGACTGCCCAGCAACATATGGAACAGTGGAGGTTAAGAACAGAAGATACTTCCCTGGCATCCAAACAGGCCCTCTAAGATATCACACAAAAACCAACATGTATTTTCCCATGCAATCCTGAAATCTCGTCTGCTTGCACAAAACCCAACAGGGTTTCAAATGCTTAAATTTGTCAAAGAGCATTTAGCTTGTTCCAGGGACAGGAAGGGGTAGGTAAAGGCCAGGAGGGACACACTCACCTCTGTATCCCTCTGGTTTATTGGTTGAGCAAGCCCAGAAGAGCATTCTAGTGTTTATGAGGGTGATCACCTCAGGTACGCACAGTGTATTGCTAGGGGATGAGAAGAGACTGTGTGAATGAAACTGCATTTAAGGTGCAAAGAGAACTATTTGGAAAACTCCCCTACCTACCGGCAGAATTCATCTGTGTCTTGGTGGTCATCTCCATGAAGATAAACCAACAGGAAGCGCAGTTCCCGCTTAGCATCATTCAGTGCCTTGGCATAAAAGCAGAGGAGGTAAAGTTATAGGGTCTCTAGGCAAGGGGAAAGTAGCACCCACAGGACTTGTGTGACACAGCTCAGCAACATTTACCTAGGCCATTACTCTGCCACTAGCACAGTTTTAATGAAGCAACAGTGGAGGACAAACCTGTCAGATTTTCTGACTAAACCCTCATTTAAGGGGGCTACAATGGTGTTCTTTCACACTCCCTTCAGGATGTGGCTTTGGAGAACACTGAACTCTAAGTGGAGCCAGGTAGGCAACTGTGTGGATTGACAACCCCCACCGCCCTGCCAGACTCAGCTGGCAGTGAAGAGCCCGCCTCCATCCCTCAGACTCACAGCAGCCAAGGCTGAGCTTTCCACTCTAGCCTGTACAGGACACAATCTTCAGACCACATCAAATGAAAAAGCTGCTAAAAAAAGGTACCTCAATAACATTCCAGGCCCCAACAAAACAAAAACACAACCAAAAGCCTTTTTGCATCTACAGTCTCTGGATTTCACCCACCCAAGAACATTTCTGACAAGACTGTAAGGTAAGTGCACAATAGGCTTCCTGTTTTACTGGCACTGAGTTTTGGTAGACTAACCATTCTGTGGTTATTTAAGTTTGGATTCCAGGCAAGACAGAGGGGCCTAGAAGAGTTGTGGAGGCAGCAAGCTCCATCACTGTGCAGCATGGAACAGATACAGATTCCACATTCTTCCCTGGCACTCAGGAAGTGGCACTGATGCAACTGTCTGCTGGGAAGCACTGCAGCAGGCCCTTCCCTTGGCTAGGCTGAGAGAAGCTGCAGAAGAGGCAGTACCCATCAGGATGGCCCTCTTCTACAGAGAGGGCCATCAGCCCAGATGTAACGTACAGAACTCTCACCTCCCATAACTTCTTCAGGGGCTCCCTCCCTCAGTTTTGAGGTCCCACACCAAGTTCTGGAGTTTCATTAGAATACAAGCCCAGGCAGTCAATCCCAATTTGGTGAACAGAAGGACAGACTCTGGCATACCACATCAGTTTATAAAAACAAAGGCAGGATTACAAAGAATAGCTGTTGGCTACAGAGCCACACAGACGGTTGAGGAACAGTCAGAGCAGCTTTGCTTTCCAACTTTGCAGGCTTGGCATATCATCAAGTCTGGCAGACACTCGTTTTCCAATACCCTTGTTCACTAGCTCTCCATTACCCTGTTACAGAGGTTGGAGACAAACACTGGGCTTTTAGATGAAAAGTGGTTTTGCCATGTAGGCCCTGATACCGTCTGGCAAAATCCCCACTCTCCATCTCCCCAGGATCTATGCACCAACATGTGACACTGACCTGGCTGTAAGTTCCCTGGTAGAAGACAGGGTGTATCCTCCCATATTTTTCCTCAAACATATGAATAAACGAAATAATGTCACCCACTGGGTCAGTGACCCGACTACGAGGATCAGGGCGTATAAAACGCAGAGCAAACCTAGGAAGGAAGCAAAGGACACTGGAAATTCAGCTTACTGGCTTTCTGAAGAACAGGTTTTCTTTTCCACAAACAGTCCCTGGTATTCATAAGGAGGAAAAAAGTCACAGCTGAGATCCTTGAACATTTATAATCACAACCTAAACTGCCACCTGCTCCAAACTGATACCATTGCCACAGAAGCACCCCAATCAAATATTATCTCATGCCAGGCATCAGCAAGTATCTGAATTCTGTGTGTTTAATAGTTTCAACTTCCTCTGAAGCATCAGGGATAAGCCACATCAACAGTATGTTTCAGGAATTTAGTTAAAGACAGACTGTTAAAAGCCACACAGTTTTGTCCAGATAACTTTGAAAACTGCTTTTCTGCTATTCCAAGACTAACAATTCCAGAGTGCAAAGAGCTGCAGAAAGAGAACATTACACTAGGAGTCCAGTGAAGAAAGAAGAAACAGTCGTTCCCCTGAGGCTGAAAAAGCTTAACTGCAAGGCAGTATCAGCCTTGTTTAGTTCTACTGATGTGTAGAAGTTATGAACTTTGGAAAAGCCTTTAAGGGGGACAAAAAACCACAACATAATACAACAGGGGAAACTGACAAAACACCACAGATGGCAGGACTGCTGGATATTTACCACCTTTCAACATTCCCTTCTCTCTCTATCAGTGCTGTAAGAAGACAAGATGAACTAGTCCTTTGGGGCAGTAAAGGGAGAAGAGGCAACAGACACCAAACGGGAAAAAGCAGAGGTATTTACAATTTGGGTTTTGCCAAGTACCACACAGGGATTAGGGCAGGTTAACCTGCAGCCCACCCCAACAGGACACGACTCTGGTCAAGATGCTTGTCCAAGAACACTGGACAGTTTGACACTATGTTTTGTGTCCCCTTTGCATGGCACTCAAACTATAAAGCTGTGTGGAATTAGCACTCCAATTAATATTGCATTTGTAGAGCTGCAAGATGCTCATTTTCTCTGCAACAAAATTTCTTTCTTACTAAACAGCATAGGAACTTTACAAGGCTACAGATAAAGCCAGTTGAGCAAATAAATAGAAAATCTGCTATTAGACTTAAAGATCCAAGTGACAGAGGTACAGCCAAATCTAAGCTAGAGTATGCCTTGATGCAGTCGATATGTGAGTCAGCACAAAAAAAGTACTTACCTAAATATATCAAGTAATGTGTAATATGTAAATCGGAATGGAAGCATTATGAAGTAGTAACCCCATCCTAACAGGCCCTACAATTAGAAACAAAGAATTAGAACAGTCTCTACCCCAGGAACAGGGCTGCTAAAGCAAAGTGCCCAGCAGCATCAAGCACACATATACACACAGGAGTATCAGTACTCTGACTGCCACAAAAAGGTCAGCAACATTTCAAGGGTTCAGACAGATCAAATCAAATTTAAGTGACTGACACTGTTCATTCAGAATTCAACGTGCCACGTGTGAACAGCAGCATCAGTGACTATTCAAGCAGCAATATTTTTGCTCTGTGCTAATTTTCTTAACTGTACAAAGGGATTAACAGCACAGAGTCTTACAGGTGCTCATGCAAATTTGTTTGTGAAACATTAATGCAAGTAATTGACCCTGTATTCAAGTTAATATATGTTTTTTTGGGGGGCTCTAAAAAGAAAAAAATATTAGCACTCTGTCATGAGGGAACAGTCCTTTGTTCCAACTGAACTCTTCAAAAAGCTTTACTATGCCACAAAGTAGTCTCATATTGTGAATCACACGATGAAGAAAATATCCACAGTAGTAACGGAGGCTGAAGGAGTAGCTCATTCTCAAAACATTTTGTTTTCAGAAGAGAAAAATATTTAGAAAGGAGATTAACAGCATACAAAGAAAACAACTCCTTTCCCTGCATGCATGTTTTGTTGTTCACAAGGAGTCACCCCAGAAGCAGGACAAAATCCACTGTAAGATAACTTGCCCTTGGCTGCGGCCTTGAGACAACGTAGCTGTAGATCCTGTGGTCAGCTGTATTGACCTGCAACGGTCGTGATGGAGGAGGATTAAAAACACTTGGGACACCCTCTTGCTCATTCAGTCGGTCCTGTACAGCTGCCTTTGACACAAGAAAGAGCAAAGAGAAGTTTCAGACATTTAAATATAGCAGAAAAGATCTTTTTTTGTACTTTGGGCACTAACAATAGGTATTATTTGTCCACAGCCCCAGAGCACTGGATAAGCACAACTCATTGCAAACTGTAACAGCCAATACCCTTCTGTATGGAAAGCCTTCTCCATGGCAGCCTGCACACATGCACTATGGGAAGTTACACAATGTGCCCGTCAAGTGACTGTTCACAGCCATAACAACTCTGCTGCATGCCTCTGAAACCAACTCTCCAGCAATATCAAGATACTGTTATAAAGAACGACTCGTGTAAATTCAGGGGTTGACAGATTAAATCTTACTGGTAGGACCCTCCCTTCCCTTAGAGTACTCCGTTTAATCCATGTACTTGGGAAATCACCACAAAGCTTCTTTGAAGTGGTGGTACCTCTATGTTCCAGTTGTGCTGCTCCAGTGTGTGACGACATTGGTCCATGGACTCTATGCCAGTCAAGTCCTAAGAAGGAGAGTAAGAGCAGGTAAGTGCCAGGGAAGTGCTGTATTTTTACTGTTCTTTGCAACATGTAGACACAGACAGGTGTTACCACAATACTCTTCTCTTTTAAAGTGCTCTGCTCTCTGCTTAGGAGCAGAGCAACCTGAGCCAACCCAAATCCATAAATGCACAGGAGGCCTCAAACAGGCCTTTGCACTCCTCCAGCATTAGCCGATTCTCAGCCATGCCCAAGGTCTATAACTACAACTGCACTCAGCCCAGTCAAGTCTAACATGATATTGCCCACAAGTTTCACTCTGGAAAGATACACAAGGCAGATGCCCTCAAACTCAAACATCACCTTGAAGCATCTCCTTAAAAAGACAGGCAAAGCATTTCTGAAAACCCAAGATGACCATTGCTTCACTCACTGCAAGCATAAACAGAGACTAAAACCAAAATGAGCTAAGCACTAATGAAGGTAGAGTTTTCCAGCATCACAGAGGATTCTGTAGTAAAAAAATAATCCAGTCCAACTCAGACAAGACCTGAAACAGAGCACATAGCCCAAACACACCGGCAGACCTCCAAGCCACTGGGGTCTCAAGTCAATGTTTGGCAAGGCATATTTTAACCCTATGCCAATCAGAACTTCTGCACAAGAGATCAAACACTATTTGTTATTACAGGAAGCCACGTCAGCACCTCTTGAATGGAGACAAGTCTTTGCTGAAGTGAACATCCCTGTCACTGTGCCACAGAAACACATCTCTCCCCACACCACTCACTGTAAGGTGTTTGAACAGACATTTCAGGGTTGTATACCACACCTATCGCCTCAGAGACGAAGCACACTTTCATGCAAAAGCGTAAAGCCACAAATGTGCTGCCACTAACCTTTTAACAATCCTTTGAATCAGTCAGTGAAAGATCATTACAGGTGACACCATTAACAATGCTGGCAATTTTGAAGGAAGCTACTGTTATTTTAAAATTAAAAGGAGTAAAAAGGGTTTTTATAACTGGACTACGGAAAGCCAAGAAAGCAGTTATACCTTCAGAAAAAATTATTTAGCTTAGATACAAGATGGCAGAAGCAATGACAAGAATTGTCACAAGCAGTGTAATAAATTCAACATAAAAATATGCTGGTGATATAAGGAGACTGTTAAAATATGACAATTTCTCCATCAAGGTCATTCTTGACAAGAGAACTCCACAGATTCTTAATGCTTCATATTCTTACCTGGTGGGTTTCCCTCCAGACACCTCCCCAGCCAGTGTAACACTACAGAGGGTGCACCTTCCTCGGGGGCGCAGGGACTGAGCTGAGAAGTGAAGCAGGCTGCTTTCCCACTGGACTGCTCATGCTGTGACAGGTGGACCCTGCCGCCCTACAGTCTTGCGAGCTGAGCTACACAAGAGCCTTACCTGTCCTCCGCCTGCCGGTTCCACACACTGTTCTCTGGCACCTGAGAAGATCTCAGCCATGCAGGAGTTTGGCAAACAGCTGGGAACTTTTGCTCCCTGTGTCTGTCATACAGCAGAATGTGGCTTTTCTGCAGGAGGCAGCTTGTGACGATTGCCAACAGAACACTGACAGTAGAAATCCTTGTGCATGGTCTCTACTATACCTTGTGATCCAACCCATTGTTAGCAATCCTATTTAGTTCTGTGCGTCATCTCCCCCATTTCTTGCTTCATTTAGAAGCCCCTGAGGCAGTCTTGACAGGCTGACCATTCAAGAATGCAATAAATTGGATTTTTGCTGGAGAAGGATGGGGCATCTCTTCCTTTCCTGGCCCCCATTCATACATTCCACATGCTATTTCCACCCAAGTCACACAGTGGACAAATGCCCTATTCAACCTCTGGGCTCAGTTCAAACTTTTGAGCATTTCTTGGCTTCTTTCTCATGAAGTCTCCACAGATCTCTACCTTCTCCCCAATCTACAGGGCAAAAATAATTGTTTCATTCTGCTGTAACAGAACTGGACTGTTCAAGCACTGCTGACATTAACTGTGATTGCAGTCACTCAGAAAAAAGCACTTCAAGTCACTGCCCAATGGTGTAGAAATATTTATTGAAAAGTAATTCTGCAGCAAGCCTTGCAAGGGAGCACTACAGAATTGACTGTCATTGAAGAAACAAAGCTTAGTGAACTCAGCTGTTACTGCCAAAATACCTTCAATTATCACCCAGCTTCATGATTTAGCATTTTAGTTTAACTATCTTTCTTTAAAGATGTGCTTCACTGAGTAAAATTTAGGTTTTATATTCTGATTTTTTTTACCCCAAACTCCTATAGAAGGCACTTTATTGCCCTTTTAGAAGGACACCTTAAAAGGCACCTGCAATTTACTCAATTATTTTATTTTACAATAGAGTCATAATATGTGTATTTCAAAGCCTGGAAATTCTGCTGGTGTTTGCAAAATTTACAAGATTCAGAAACTCATTCACACCTTTGTCTCTAAAGGTCCAGATTATCACTCAACACTAATAACTGGGCTTCATGACTGAACATTCCCTCCTTTTTAAATTATGCAAAATGCTTTAGCAGTTTTAGGTCAGAAAGCAGCAAAGTAACAGCCATGCAGAACTATAAACAAGCACTTAATGAGCACTGAATCACTGCACCATTTACAAAACCAGCTAACTTCACCCCTTCCCGACCACCATTACAGCAACAGGCATGCTGTTGGTCAGATCTTCTACAACAGCACTTCTCCATGGAGGTGAATCTACAATTTGTTTCTTAGCATCTTAATACAGTTGCTCTCAACATGAAACAGAAGTGACAAAACCACCCCAGCAACACTGTACCTACTTCTGACAAATGAAGCTGCACAATTAAACATTGCAGGAAAAATAAATTGTCTGTGTAAAGGCAGCTTTTAAAACTGAACACCTCTCTGAATGTTACTTTGACATGCTCTGTAAGACAGACACACTACGGTTCCAGGATGTTCTGGAAGACACATATGGGTTCAGAATGACTTGGACTCAACGTAAGGAACTGTAGGAAGATAGTTGAACTGTCAGTTAGACAACACTTGCTGCTCAAGACTGATACTGTTGATTATCACTCCTAACAACCATTTATACTGTTATCTCAGTACCTTCTATAGCCAATGCTTCACCTTAGTCACAGAAACAGATTAGAAATTTGAAACACATCATTTCCACTGCACCAGTTATAGCATTTCTGGTCAATCTTGTGGCTAGCTGCAAACTGCATTATTCACATGCCAGACAAACAAACATGTTCTTAGTACCGTTAAGGCTAAGGGAACAAAACAGCATCTTCAAATCAGTTGGTAACTGCTAGTTTCCTATTCACTGTAGTCTCTCATTAGCTGCCTCAAAGCCATATATCTTACACAGACATAGTAAGTAACAAAAAGATAAGGCCCCCTGCAGTTAAAATTAGTCCCATTAAACTAGCACCCACAAACCATCAAATAAATGTAGATCCAAGCTCAAGACAGTGGATTATATTTAGAAAACAAAATATTAAGCACCACAAATGCAGGAAAGTTCAACACTGCCTTCTCAAACACCACTCAAATCAACATGCTACCCTAAAACATACTGAAACTGCTGGATATAATTACTTGCATCTCTCACCTTTGAGATTGCTTTGAATGCTAAAATCCTGTCAATATTGAAGTAGTGGAAAGTGCAATTCCACACTTCAAAGGCAGAAGGAATACCCCTGAGTGGACAAAGGCTGTAAACAGGACTTACGAAACTGTTCCCTCTGCAGATACACTCATATGTTGAAACACAGTATAAGAGATGCAAATCCACAGGACTGTAACTGGCACTGCTCTTAACTCGCAACCCACTGCCAAATTCCAGAGAATTATGTTTCTAAGGGTAAAGAACATCTGACTAAAAAGCCTTTACCAAGAGAGTTTCTCTTTGCATATTACAGCAAATGCCTTTATGAGGGTTTTGATCAATATGCAATACACTGAATAGGAAAGATGCCTGGAGTTTCTTATTTCCTCCTTCCTCTTTAATTTAAAGATGTTTTCAGTGTTTTCCCCAGCTGAAGTCAGAGATGGTATCATGAGTCCTAACTTTTCCTTTTGCAAGTAACACTCCGTTACTTTATATTAGCATATTATAAGGTTAGACATCAGCCCAAGTGTAATGGGCACAGATCAATTACAAAATCCTACAAAAGCTGCTCTGCTATTTCTTCCATCTCCAGATGGAACTGTATCTCCACAGATTGCTTAAGCTGTTCACATCAAGTTTCTCTCTACAGATGTCAAGACAGCCAAGTCTTGACAGATGAAAAATTTAGATGCTTTTATTCCTTTACATTAGCCAATGTTTTGGCAGTAAATGGAAGGCTGAAAGCATGCAAGAGCGCTTTGTTGCTTTTATTTCAAGTTCATCCCAATTATCTCCCCATACTGGTACTTTTTTTTCTTTACTCTATTAACCTGCTATAGCAGAGTGGCGACAACTGTCCTATTCTAACCCAGTCGGTAGGAAGAGAGCTGCTACTTTCACCGTTCTGCCAGCAGAGCTGTTTATGTGAGCACTACCAAAACACATCAAGAAAACATCAGTGGAACTAATGCAAAGCATGTATTTAAAGTGCAACCCCAACATTTGGGCCACAAACAGGACAGCAGGCATTTACCTCTACCTTGGAAGGAGCAATTTACAGCACAAGTAGGATAAACAGTGTAGAGCAACAGCATCTTCACCCAGAACAGCTGTTTGCTGGGTGAATGGCAGCCTACAGCTCTCACTCAATGCTTCCCTTCTGGCTCTGCATTTAACCATAACACTATTGAAGGCCTTCTACTATTCGTTACCACATCTTTGTTTTCCCCACTCCCTTCTTTCCTAGTCCACTATCCTGCTTTATTTACATTACAGTGGCATGCAGCCTTCTGTGGAAGTACAACACTCTGCCACCACAGAATATTGCACAAATTATTTATGACAGTGCATCACAACAGAAGTGTAAAGTTATCTTTGAAAACATTT